ATAAGAGACAGGCTCACTGACGCCTCGGCAGCGAGTCATCCCGACCCCCGCCGGCCAATCAGCGGTGCCGGCGCTTCAGCGGAACAGCCAATAGCGAGGCGGCGCGGGAGCGGCCCCCTCCCTCCGGTGACGCCGCCTAGCGGAGGAAGAGCAGCGGCGGGAAGGGCGCCCTCGGCCCCGCTCCGGTCAGTGACCCCAGTTCTGTCAGATTTTTTAAACCCTCCTCTTGACGCGGCTTGCCCCTGCCTGGCGGCTGCGCACACAAAGCGGGCCCTCTCCCCAAAGTTCTCTAATCCTCCGCATTTGCAATGGGAAGGCAAAAAGCAAAGCAGAGCGCAGGCCCCTCAGAGCACCGTCCAGCCCCTCCGTCCTGTCCACGCTGAGGGCACCAGACAGCCTAAAAAGTTTGTTGGATACCGCCATCCTATAGAACTAACCTGGCACCCTTTTGTAATGGAGCCTAACTTCTTGTTAACAGACACAAAACCAGACTAAGGATTGGTGTTTCAAACCTGACAACCTTTAGTCAACCACTACCTGATGGAGGGACCTCTGAGGTTGTTGCAGAGACTTAACACATAGATCGCTTCCAGGTACCCATTTTCAACAACCATTATTCATAGTAGGAGTAACGTACAGCGACAAGCTGGAGGAAGGGGACAAAATGTGACATTCTGAAACACTTGGGAGCAGAGAGCAGAGGAGATCCAAGCTTCCATTTCTCTCCAAACGGAGCAAGCTGTCAGGAGAAAGCAGCCTGTATGGGGTAGCTGGACTGAGGACACAGTAGTCCAACCACACAGAGCATTAATAACATCCCAGGGCAGACAGCCACACTGCACTGCCTGCATCTCTTACAGGGGCAGTGGGGCAGGCAGCAAGAATTTGCAGAGAAAACAAGTGCTGTACCAGGAATGAGATACTGTGAGAAAATAATTTCAGGACTGCCTGAGGACCTGAAGTCCAGTTGCTGTTAGTTTCGATGAAAACTGAGTAACTCTTTCCCTCAAGCAATGGTGCAGCAGCGTAAGGAAGTACAGACAAGTCAGTTTTGTACTGGCAAAGGGAGAACAAGATACGTATTTCTTGTAGATGGATGCATCCATCCTGCAAATAAGAGAAAGCTGATAAAAGAAACAATCTACAGATTGGTGTCAGTCTGCCACAAGTGAGGTTAAGCATAGAAATGAACCTAAAAGACAGGTTTGCAATTGCAGAAATCTTCAGCTTTGTATGTGGTCATTCCCTTCTAAGCCACAGCAAGTCAGTGAAACATCTTTCAGAGTCAGAAATTAAGGCAGGAATGAATACATGCCAAAACCCCATTCCATCTGGATTTTCACAACCACAGTCCTCATTTGTCTGTTCAGATTGAAGCCCAGCCATTTTTTTTTTTAAGACGCTGTGTTTAGAAATGTGCTTAGAAGCGTCCAGGACTTACCTTCACCTCTGATGTAGTCTTCCTGTGGCTGAAATGCAGTTTTCAAGACTGTCCAGTGTAATGTCACATTTGTTTAACAAAACCAAATGCTGAAGGTCTCAGGTGCCTCACATCAAACTCCCCTGCTGTTCTGCAGTCACACTACATCTTACAACCTAAACACACATATATCTGAACTGCTGAGCCCACCTAAGCTTCTGCACTCAGTTTCTAGAACTAATGTTTCCCTCATTTCTTTCCCCTCCTAAAGAAGTCCATACTCCCCATCCACCAACAAAGTCATCCAGGGCCCGTTTTCCTCCCTGAGGAACCCTTCTGACACAGTAAATCTCCAGTTACAGCTATTGACACTGGCTACAGAAAATTACTGTAGCTAAAACCATTTTCCTTTTAAATTCTCATTTAATAAAAGATGGAGAGAAAGGGCAGTTATGCCACACCAGGGGGAAGGAGAGTATGAAGTGTAAAAACTGGCCATTTTAGTTTCTGAAATGTCATTCAGGAAACCTTTTCCAGTGTTTGCTCTTTTCCTACCTGCACAGGTCAGAGAGTATTTGCTCACACCCAGTGAATATCACCATGTCAGGATGGCTGCCCAGGAATCTCACTGCCTTCACTGAGAGTTCAGAATTCACAAGGGAGCATTCTTTTCAAGCTGAAAAGATCCCATATTAGAAAAATTTGGTATTACATTTTGTGTATGTTTTTCCTGTGAAAAAGCTAATTTCATACCTAAATCTGGTCATTGCCAGCTTATACCCAGTAGGTTCCCTTTTAATACTTTCTTGTAGTAAACATATTGGTTTTGTTTCCTGGTATTTACTTCTGAGATTCAAGAAGAGCAAAAAACAAGATGCTGCCTCAGCATGTGCTGTACAGGCTACACAATGAGCAGCTCTTCGCAGCTTCTCTCCTACACGGGGTGTACTCTTCCAGTCCTTCAGCAGCATCTCTCAATTTGTTTTAAATTAACCTTTCCTGAACATGTGGGCTTTGACCAATAGAGCCTATTCCAGGTGAAGGCTTTCTAATACTCTGGGAACTTTGAAAATCAGAAATACTTCATGACATGCTGTCCTAAGATCCCACCAAGTTACTAACTCACTCTTACATTCCTTGAGTTAATAAACCCAGAGCTTCCTTCTTCCTTGCCCTTTCTTACTGATGAATTCTCAAACTTAACAGCCAGAAATCATTGCTGCAACATAAATCATGGCCTTACTCTCAGTATGACGTTTGATACCATTTTTGTTATATTACCTGCCAAGGCCATCCTCCCCTCTCAGCCAATCCTCTCACAGTATGTGACAATGGCACACACGCCTGTGACACTGTGCTTGAGAGGACAGGTAACCCCCTCTAAGAGGTTCAGTGGCAGACACAAAGCAGGCAAGCTGCAACTCACATGTTATTTGAAAAAAAAACAAAAACCAAACAAAAGCACTTCCCCTGAGCTGCATATATTTTGGGAATGATTGCTCCTGTATACAGAGGAGAGGGGAACATTATCCTCTGAGGCTATTGTAAGCATCTATAATGACATCCCACACAACAGCAACATCACAGTCTGCTTCAGGACCTACAAGAACAAAACCACATCTATAACTGCAAGCCTGAATATAGTTTATCTCCTGTGCAGCACCTTCCCCTTTAACAACTAAAAACTTTCAAATTAGGAAAATAAATTAGACCACAAAATAGCCCCAAAATGCATCAACACTTTGAGAGCTGTTCTGAGGAAAACAAAGCAAATATTCACACCATCACATCTGCAAGCAACTCACCTGGACACAAATCTGAATCCTGCTCTGCTGGTTGCAGATTCCCATACCCATGGCAGCAGCATATCTTGGTGTACATACACATGCAAAACAGCACTTCCAGCTGAACAGGGACATTTCAATTTTTTCCTGGCAGAAAAGGCTTCTTTTGAATGAGGTGCTTCAATTTTCAGATTATTTTCTTTGTCAGGCCAGATGGGACTGTTACAAGCCTCATTATATATTCTGAGGTGTATAACAAAATGTACGTACCTAATCTAACTGTGAGATTGATGCTCCCATACACAGAATCCATAGAGACCTTCTTGTTTCTGCTACAGCCATCCGTGCTGCTGGCCACAAATCATGACAGCCTGGTACTTGCTCTTAATGTGCTTGAGATGAGTCTGACATCTGGAAAAGCTGAAAATGTTTCTCCATTGTCTGTCTGGCCCCACATTTATTATTTGAAATGGGTCTTTCTAATTTCAGCTGTTGTTGATTGATTTGAAGGACAGTAAGCAAATCAAATAGTAAACATTCAGTTCATAGTCTGTGCCCATCAAAAAAAAAAAAAAAAAAAAAAAGACTGAACTCACCACGTGGTCAGATCTAAAGGTATGGATCACAAAAACTGCTGTGTGTAGGGTAACTGTTAACAGCACATACACCACACACACACTTCTTACTGCTACTCCTCACTGTGCATCACTGCAGAGAAGACACTTGGACACATCCTAAATTGAGATGATGTTTCTGCCTCAGCCCGCACTGAAGGATGCTGACCCCCTTGCTGGGAATCCAGGACTGGAGATGTCAGAGCTAATTGGTTTCAGGTGCTGGTAGAGGCATTCAGAGTGCCCCACCAGGTCCCCACCACCCTGATGGCCTCCCCTGGAACCTTCACCATCCACACACCCTTCCTCATTGGCCCCAGCTCTGCATTTAAGCTCAGACCAGGGGGCTTATTTCTTATTTCAATAACAGCTTTGTTATAAGTCCTCTTTTTTCCTATAACAATTTTTTTTATTGCTGTCTTTATTTTTGCCTTTTATTTGGGTAGTGTTATTAGATTACATTTGACTCCCACTTAGGTACTGTAGGGTTATGGAGGGGGAAAGTGTCCTAGTTTCCTGTTGCTGTTAGATTTAAATTTTGACTTCCAGTTTTATTGTAATCTGGTTTTGTTACCTGAGTTAGTGGTAACATATAACTTAGTGACTTTCTTTCACTGACTGATAAAATAAGGCTGGAAAGTGGGTTTTTTGAAACATATGTGTAAACTTTTGCCTTATTGCTTATACCTAGAAATGTGCAGTCTGGTTATAGCATTATGGTATAACTTCTTGTTGTCCTCATTTCTGGCAAGGTTTCTATTACCTGCTTAAGCCTGGTTCAGATAAAAGGGCTGGTTTGGTAACATATACCCATGGAAGGGTACTCTGGGAAACACCCTAAGAGCAGGGACACTCTTTCCATTTTAAGACAGAGCCCTGTAGCTTTTTTTTTTTTCCTCTGGATGTGGAGATGTAAGTCGGACCTCAAGCACTCATTAGCCTTCTGAGCTTCTTTTTCTCTACCATTTAGCCATATAAGGAGAGAGAAAGCTCCTAGTAATCATGAGATAAATATTACCAGCTTTGGCACTGATGTCTGCCCAGGAGATGGATTCTGAGGAGGGAGCAACAGGTAAGGCAAAACTGTAATCTCAGGTACAAGGGCCAACTAGTTTAACCTGGGCCATACAGTCTGTTCTTTTTCCCCTAGTTCCTGCTGCTGATTTAAAAGCTACCCTTGCCTCCTCACCAGAGAGGCTTGATCTAAATGCTATAGCTCAGCATGCAGGACAAGAACCTGAGTTGCATGCTGTGCTGGGGAGCACTCAAGTGCACTGGGGAACCATCTGGACTGCTGCTCCCCCTCAGCTGTAATGGCTGGGGGGGGGTGTCAGTGGGATGCTTGCTGTCTGTTAGTCCCTGACCCTGATAACAGGCTTCCTAAGGCAAAGGGATGCCTCAAAGAGCAGAAAGGGGAGGCTCTACAATGAAATATATGCAAGAAACTAAGCCCTGATGTACAAATCAGGCATCCCCCTCCACCCCAGGACAGGGGTGGTTGCTGGTGACAGCCCTCTAGTCCCACGTCTTGGAAGCTTTGGGCTATTCTCTCCAGTCCCTCCTTCCTCCTCTCTCTCCTCCCTGAATCAGGCAGGAGCTGCAGGGTCTCTTGCCTCTCTGCTGTGCCTGGGGTTGCAGCCTTCCTCCTCGATGCACTGAACAAGCAACTGCTGTGGAGCTCTGGCACCTGTAAGTGGGGGTATCCTGGGGGGAGGGGGGGCTGCTTTTAACTTGGTTTGGGCTGTTCCTCCCTCTGCTGTAGCTGTGAGCTGAGTTAAAACTGCAGGTGCTTTGCTAGCAACAGGTTTTTGTGTGAGGTGAGATGCTGATTCTGCTGCTCTGAGGTGACAGAGGGGTGCTCCAATTTACCTGTGGACATAATACTGCCTGCATTGGGCTCCTGGTGATGCCAGGCATCTGCTGTCTATTAAGCAAGCCCGCC